CTGCAATGATCCAAAGCCAGGAGCCAGGTGCTTCTCCTGGTCTCCCATGCGGGTGCAAGGCCCAAGCACTTGGGCCATCCTCCACTGCCTTCCCAGGCCACAGCAGAGAGCTGGACTGGAAGAGGATCAACCGGGACTAGAACCTGGCGCCCATATGGGATGCCGGCCCCTTGGCACTCCCTCTTAGAAAGCACGTATTATTTCACAGCTCTACCTCACACTGTTTCTGGAGTTATATCAAAGCCTAGTTCCACCACTTATCAGCTACATGATCGTGGTCCTGTTACACAGTCACTCCATGACTCAGTTTCCTCATCTGTGAAGTAGGGATAAGAGTAAGGCTGTTGTGAGGATGAAAACATCCAGTAGAATATCTAACATATGGTTAAGATGTTCAGTATGTGGTAATTATTAGTATCAGACTTTATAATCTACTGCCATTTTTATTCTTTATTATTAAAGCCAACCTCCTTACTTCTCCCTCCAAAGTTATACACCCTTTAAAAGTTTTCTAGTTGGGTAAATGATACCAATGCTTTTCCAGTTTCCCATATTCAAGTCCTTGGGGTCATTTTTGATCTCTGCAGAGACAAATCCCTACTACTCTGCAACAGCTTCCCACTGTACCCTTCATTCTCGGTTCTCTGATTTAAGACAGTGTGATTATTTATTGAACACTTACAGGCTGTACTCCAACAGTGGACTGTTCACAGCTTTGTACAATTAGCTATCTCAACAGCATATGTCTGTCACCTACTACTTCAAAACAAACAAGCAAAAACTTCTCTTAACCCCAGCCACAGGAAAGAACTACATGGACCAGCACTTGCCTCTCCTAGCTCAATAAGCTTTAACCATCAACCTCCATTAGGCTACACAACTTCTCCTTCCTCAAGTTCCAAACGAATTGCCCTATCTCAACCCCACTCAATTCTCTCTATACCTTGTCACCATGGCCTTTTGGGGCTTCTACTAAGAAAAGGTGTTGTAAAATGCTTTACAGGGATAGGCACTTCAAAGCAGACATACAAACAAAAAATAAAAACGCTAACAATGCACTAACAAACCAGAATATCTTCTAAATGTGCATATATAGGAGTCATAAATAAAAGCTTAATAGTCACTGATAAAAGTTTTCATATATAGGTCAATGTATACACATAACAATAAAGAGAAGTTGTCAAAAACAGGGTATAAGCTATATATGTATATATTTTTAATTGGGCAGTACTTATTTCAGTAAATTAAGAAGTATGGTCTCTGGCCTAGAATAGCTCAACATCACATGTGTTTACAAAAGATAAGATATACCTGTTAATAAATAAGACATTTAAACTCTTGAAACAGTACAGATTAAAATAAGTGATTTTCTTACATATTTATTCAGATACACAATATGCTAAGAATTATTTAATTATATGTGTATGTATATGTGTGTGTGTGTGTGTATATATATATATATATACTTTCAGTGAATCTACTCAAAAAGAAACCCAATTAATGGATAAGTAATCACACAGATCTATGCATAAGTAATCATATAATTTATATAGTTATAATCATAATTTATACAGTTTTATAAGCATGCTTTTTTAAAGGCACCCAAAATATACTGGCAAGAAATTTTTACATATAATGCTTACATAGGAAGCATTACAAACACTTTTAAGTATAAAATGAATTTCAAAGTAATTCATTTGTTTGATCCTTAAGGATAAATCTTACCAGAACCATCAAATTCTCTATTTTTGGACAATGGGATATAGATTTGAAGGTCTGGTTTTAGCTAAGAAAAAGATCTACTATAACAAATCTAATGACTAGCAACAGCTGCAGATTCTAAAAAGAGAAATATTATTCTGAGTTAGGCACTAATTTATGCTTTAAATTTTCCATCCAGTAATATCTTTTTAGATGCATGAAAGGAAAAGGCAACAATGTTTAGAGAGCTACTCTGTGGGTCCCTCATTTAGTGAAGCGCAGCAAAGAGAAATGTTTTAGATGCAATTTTATTTGTAGCAACATTACAGGTCATTTTTTGAACTATATATACTTCTATCTCTTCAGATAAATCCTAAGCCACATAAGGGCAAGAAAACTATAGTTTTCATTCTTCTACTACAAAGAACCCTCCGTATATCTACCAGGAATCAGAGTTCAGATTTGGAGATAGTTTCCTAAGAACGAAGATACGAATTCTCATCCACTTTCACTCTGAGCTTGTCTTGCTGGCATTAACAGTGTTATGAAAATCAGATACACAGAACAACTGTATTTTAACAAATGAGGAAATGCAAAGATAAAAATACACTAGACTAATAAATTTTATTTTTACATAAAAGACAAGGAAGACTTAGATAAGATTAAGAGATAATATGAAGAAAAAGATCACAGGCTGAAGTGTGATAAAGACTGGGAGAAATATCTGGGCTATTTGCATTATATATAATATATATTAGATATACACAGACATAGGAGGTACTTCAAAAAAGTTCATGGGATATAGAATTGAAAGATACATTTATTTTGGTATAAAAAATCTTTGAAATCCATGCATATAGGGGGATCTTCAAAACATTCAATAAAATAAGCACTATAAAAGAACTGCAGAGATTTCAAATTGTCTTACACCAAAATAAACAAATTTTTAATTCCATTTTCCACAGACTTTTGATGTGCCTTTGTGTGTGTGTGTGTGTGCATGCACAAGCATGCATTGTGGGGGTAGAGAGATTTAGCTCAGAAATCCTTGGGTTTTAAAATCAAGACTAGGGGCCCATGCTGTGGTGTAGTGGTAAGGCCTCCACTTACAGTGCTGGCATCCCTTAAGGGCACCAGTTCGAGACCTGGCTGTTCCATTTCCAATCCAGCTCTCTGCTATGGCCTGGGAAAGCAGTAGAGGACGGCACAAGTCCTTGGGCCCTTGCACCTGCATGGGAGACCTGGAAGAAGCTCCTGTCTCCTGGTCGGCGCCACAGCTCTGGCCGTTGCTACCATCTGGGGAGTGAACCAGTAGATGGAAGACCCCCCCCCCCACCTTGTGCCTTTGCCTCTCTGAAACTCTGCCTTATAAGTAAATAAATAAATCTTTAAAACCCAAGATTAAAGTAAAGAACAGAAGTTTCTATTTAGTATGCTGTAGAAATGAAGTCATATTATAGAAAGGGATGTTCATGAAAAAGTCAAATTTAACCTGGAAACTAAGCCTCTAAGTCATATCCACCAAAGGAAAAAAAAATGTTTAAGCTTTAGAAAGTTACCATAATTCAAGGTAACTCATTAAAAGCATAGCATTTCATTAGGGAGTTTTCCATTTAATTTCAAACTGCAGTAATACTTCTTAATAAGATGTTTAGGTACTAAATGTATTTTGATTACATTTAATTCATTATTATGAACTCTTAATCATCCTTAATCAAGAACCAATAGTATTCAAACCATTTTTGAGGATTCACTGGCAAAGAGATCTTCGGGTAACTATTATCAACACAAAATAATTCAAAGACTCAACTTTAAAACCAGTCATCGTGAAAAAGTATTTTGTGATTTAAAATGCAAAACTATATTAACTGTCACAGAGCCTTACATCAAAAGGTGGGTAGTGTTTTGTATAATAGGAAAGAAAAAGCAAACATAAAATGACATCATCTTTATCTTCACATAGGTATTACTCGGAATGATGATAGATTCAACAGTTCAAATTAAATGTGTTAGGTTTTGATCATTACACAATGTACACATGTACTGAAACATCACACTGTACCCACAAATATGTAAAATTATTATGTGTCAACTAAAAACAAAATAGGGGTAGGCATTTAGTCTAGCAGTTAGGATGCTGACTGGGATGCCCACTTTTAATACTGGAACACCTAAGTTGAAGTCTTAGCTCTACTCCTGAATCTAGCTTTCTGCTAATCACTCTGGGAGGCAGCAGGTAATGGCTCAAGTACTTGGGCCCTTGTTACCCATGCAAGATACCAGGATTGAGTTTCTAGGTTCTAGCTTTGGCCTGACCCAGTCTCTGCATTTTGAGCATTTGGGATATGAAATGGTGGAAGGGAACTCTCTTTGTTTGTCTTTGTCTCTGTGTCTCTGTCTCTCTCTATCAAATAACTAATCAGTTAGCTATTTTTTAAAAATTTAAATAAATGAAATGTTTTAGGCTAAATTCCTAAAGCTCATCTAGACAAATTATATCACTACAAAATATCATACAAAAACCAAACCTTGATCTTACTAAATTATATGCAAAATAACACAAGTCCAAATATTAATATTCAGCCTAGGCATACTATAATGGAAAATATTTAGCTTAATGTTTTCAATTATTGCAGTTTCAACACTTGCTATCTTAAAGTCAGTCTCTGAGTAAAACATTCTCACCACTGAGCAACAGCTATGGAAACTTCAAATACCTTCTTTAAATAATTTGTGATTATCATCATAGTCAAATCAATATATAGTAAGATCCACTGTTGTTGAGTTCAAGATTGTTCAAAGGTGATCAACTATAGCCAGTAATCATAATCATATATTATTATCCCAAGCCTTAGGCCTTAACCAAACACTTAGCTACTACCCTTCAAAATCTGGATCCAACTCCACATCAAGCAATCTAAGTTACAGGGTCTACATGAGAAACAAGGAACAAAATGCCTCCTTGTTTAAATATCTGAGCATGAATTAAATCGCTCACTACCTTGTTTCCTTCCTGTCATCCTGCCATCTTTTCTCTCTTCCCTTTAGGCAATTTTTCACCTATACATATGTTGGTTGAAAAAATAGTGTGTGACTGCAAAGAGCTAATGACTATTCAACTGTGATCAAGTTTATCCAAAAGTAGTCCCTGTTTTTCTGGGTTCACATGTTAATTCGGCTTCCTTAAGCAGCAGCATCATAGCAAGATAGTTTTAATTATGTGCCCACAGAGCACTGCATACATTTCTAAACATTTTAAACATACATGGATATTTTCTTTTTAAAAACCATTTTCTTACCTTATGTCTGCATTTAAGTACAACTCCATACGCTCCTATAATAAAAAGATGTGAATAATCAGTAATATGTACACAAACTACAGCTCTTAAAGAAATCAAACTTCTGCTATATTTATATATATTTCTGGTATATGTTATAATAATGATTTCTAAAGTGACAATATTTTATAGTGATAATGTAATAATGAACCACATAGAAATAGAGCATGGATATTTCATTATATATATTTTTAATAAATCATGTACTCAAACAGTATTTTACACTTTGTGTTTCTCTGTGGGTGCAAGCTGTTGAAATCTTTACTTAATATATGCTAAATTGATCTTCTGTATATAAAGAGAATTGAAAATGAATCTTGATGTGAATGGAGGGGGAGAGGGAGTGGGAGAGGGGAGTGTTGTGGGTGGGAGGGAAGTTATGGGGGGGGGAAGCTATTGTAATCCATAAGCTGTACTTTGGAAATTTATGTTCATTAAATAAAATAAAATATAAATATAAAAAAAGAGTATAAAAAATCATTTCCCCCAATCAGTATTTTTAAATGTTTCTCTTTTTAAAGAAAATATCATGAGGAGACATTTGAAAGTTTAGACTTAAGCATTTTTGGAGAAAAATATGGTCATAAGAACTTTGAGAGTAAATGAAAATTAACTCAAAAGATTCTAAATAACTTAAAACTTAAGAGCTAATGACTTCTGAATAGTAAGCTCAAGCATAGAGCCTACCAAATATGCTATCTGTCCAAGGAGACATGTAGCTCCCCTCCTAGGATACTGGAATATCTCTCCAGAGTGGCAAAACTGTACTAGCCTTAGTGTTCCAATTAATAGCGTGTGGGAGTTGCTACTACCTTTCTGCCATAAATAAAGACTCAGTTCAAGGGCACAGGCCACAAGCACTACCACTTTTTTCAGTGTATTTCAATGATATCCAGTACTACCTTTTGGGATATTTACCCTATTATCTAGGAGAAAAACTACTTCCTTGGAGGGGAACACAGAGTTGACAGCAAGATACCCAAGAAACTGAGGTTAAAGTTATACTGTGAAAAATCTAATTAAGGCAATCAAAATGTAATATATGGCAAATGAATTTTGTAGCAATGCCAAGAACATTGACAGTAGCAGACATACAAAGCCTGCATGCAAATTCAAAAAGGAGATTTCAAGGAGACAAAATAAGAAAAAGTGTCTCCCACATAATCTAAGGAACCTGAACAAGTCTCCCTTACTTTGGTAGAGCTGTATGAATCTTACTTTCATAGTTAGGATGGAACCAACCATTATAACCATCCAGCTTAACTCCACCATCCCCAGAGAACCAACCAATCCTCACTTAACTGTTCATGCCAGCTTTCCTGTAAGGTGAAAGTGCACTATGTAGGCTACAGGAATTCAGAGTTTGCTTGAGAGATTTTTTTTAAAGACTTATATGTATTTCCTACCCAATCAACATCTGAGGTAGTTTACAAAGAAAAAAATATACAGCAATCAAGGTTCTGATCTGAACTTGAAGTAATATGAGTCTTCCAAAAGTTCACAGAAAATGTATATTATGAAAAAACTATACACTGATTTCAAAATTTTTCATCAAAATAAACACCTTTTAATTTAATTTTTCTACTAACTTTATAAGTAGCCTCTATATTCTATTTATATAATGCTTGGAAATGTTCGCTAATCTGAGCCAATCCCTGACAAGATGTTAATATTAAAATCTTGATCAATGTTGCTGTTCATATATAAAATATGAAATATAAAATTTTTTGTAATTTTATCCAAAAGATATAAATTTTATGAAGCCATAATTATAATCACTTACCCCTGTTAACAGAATTTTTTATTAAAATCTCCACAGAATTGTCTTTAAAACAAGAAGAAAAACTACCAAAGAGGAAAAGTCAGGAAGTAATGATTTTTCTAAGAGTCAGCTTTTAAAAAATGAATTACCATATTTCCTCAAATCAATGGATATCGTTAGTTATAAGAAATATTCTCAGGTCGGCGCTGTGGCTCAGTGGGTTAACACCCTGGCCTGAAGTGCCGGCATCCCATATGGGCGCCGGTTCAAAACCCAGCTGCTCCACTTTCGATCCAGCTCTCTGCTGTGGCCTGGGAAAGCAACAGAAGATGGCCCAAATCCTTGGGCCCCTGCACCCGCGTGGGAGACCGGGAAGAAGCGCCTGGCTCCTGGCTTCGGATCAGCACAGCTCCGGCCATTGCGGCCATCTGGGGAGTGAATCAGCAGATGGAAGACCTCTCCCTCTCTCCCTCTCTCCCTCTCTCCCTCTCTCCCTCTCTCCCTCTCTCTCTGTAACTGTGACTTTCAAATAAATAAATAAATCTTTAAAAAAAAAAAAAGAAATATTCTGTGGACTACAAAAAGAAAAGGTGTTGTCGATTAACCCATGACATACTGATTTCAGGACTTATTCTGGTTTTGGAGATATGAAAATAGGACCAAACTACATGCCTCAGAATTTATAAAATATGGTTTGTTGATCTCAAAGAAACAGAAGTTATTTATTCATTAATTTACCATGGAATAAGCAAAACTTAACGTATACAAATAAATTTTAAGCTACTCAAAATAAGCCTAGCTAATATAAAAAAACATGACTGCTAAGGAAAAGAATGAAACAAATGCAGTCTTGAGAAACCCTTGATTTATTAAACTTTAAAGAGTTTAAAATGTTACTAACTTTTGACTGGACAGTAAAACCCATATAGCCTAAGAGTAATTTTTAATAATACTTAGATGCATATTTGAATTGCTATAGGTTAAATTAACAGAATCTGAATTAGTGACCTTTATGGTAGTAGGTATTAACAGTACATTGCTCAAAAATTCAAGGAATAAAAAAGTTCCAACTTACCTTCTCCTACAACCCCAAGGATCTCAAATTTATTCATCACATTACCAATGTTAGGAATCTTCATGAAGACAAACTCCTCTTTTGATAGAAGCCACAGAACATGGCACCAAAAAAGGAACTTCTCAGCAAGTTGTGCAGAAAGTAGAACAAACAATGTCTAAAGGAATTCTGAATGGTTGGCAGGAACTTTCACATACTTGTTCTAATAGTGAAGTATTAAATGATTCCCTGAAAGAAGAAAGACAAACTGTTTTATACTGCAGTACTCTAATAAACTATCCTATCTTTTTGTGTAGTTCTTTTAAATCCACGTTAATGTTTCATGAGCTAAAAAATTAAAAAGGAAAAAAACAAAAAACAGTAACAGGAGATAAAGAACCCAAAATGGAACGAATACCTCACTCTACCTGAAATGAATAACATAACTGCACTGAAGAATGAATCGCAGGTAAACTTTTGAAAACAGCATTACCCACCCTCCTCAAGCCAGAAACAAAAAGAAATATAAATAAATATTCTGATTTACTCAGCTACTTGTTTTTATGCAGTGATACAAAACTTCTTCATGTGTATTCTAGGATTGAGCAAATAAGTAAACACCAGATATTGTGGATAATGAGATCTTGTTTCTTACTCTCGTAAAAGGGAGTTAACAATATAACCTCAGTATTTAATACATTGATCCATATAAATAGATAAAATATATGTATAAATATTCACATTCACATATATTTATTCCCTAGTTCTATCCACTGAGAGGGCCTAGAAGTGATGACAACCTGAGAAGAACAAGTGCTCCAATAAAAGGACCCAGGGCTCTGGAGAAATGGCTGATTCCAACGCAAGGACAGGAGAAGTACAATGTGAGCCCAGGACATATATATTTAAAAAAAAAAAAAAAGATTTATTTATTTGAAACTCAGAGTTACAGAGAGAGAGAGGGAGAGAAAGAGAGAGCGAGCTCTTCCATCCACTGGTTCACTCCCCAGATGGCTGCAACGGCCAAGGTTGGATGAGACTGAACTCAGGAACCAGGAGCTTTATCCAATTCTCCCACATGGATGGCTGTCGCTCCCCGTCTTCGTGGAGGAACGACACAGGACCCTGCGCTGTTCTTTTGTCTGCTCGGCCCTCCCCGGGTTTGCTGCTGGTTCTTCCCGGGTTGGCTACCGTCCCTCCACCTCCGTGGAAGGGCGGTTCCCCCTGCCACTTTCCCCACTTCCGCGGGGGAGCGGCACACCACCGGCCGGCTCTCTCGGGGGCTGCTCAGGTGTTCCTTCAGATAGATGTTCCTGGTGCATGTTGTCTCTCTCCTCCTTTATAGTCCTCTTCCACCAATCCCAACTCTGCTACCCACACGCCGAGCACGCTGCTCTCCTCCAATCAGGAGCAGGATCAGCTCCTGCAGTTTGTCAAGTTGGTGAGAGGCAGCTGCGTAGAAGTTTACTCCTCCCCAGCGCCATATTGTGGGAGAGCAGATGCATAGAATAAGTCTTAATTCCAGTAACTTAGCCTAGTCTCAGTTGCTCCCCACAGATGGCAGTGGCCCAAACACAGGCCATCTTCTGCTGCTTTTCCCAGACCACTAGGATAGGATAGGATAGGAAGTGGAGCAGCCAGGACAGGAACCAGCATCTATATGGGATACCAGTGTCACAGGTGGAAGCTTAACCCTCTATACTACAATGCCGGCCCCCCAGGATATATTTTTGTGGTTCTAGAAAATAAGGAAATGCTCAAAGAATGATGGGTACCCATGAAAATGACACAGGAGGGGTAGGCGTGGTGGCACAGTAGGTTAAGCCACCACTTGGGATACTGTATCCCCTATCAGAGTGCTGGTTTGAGTCTAGGCTGCTCCATTTCCAATCCAGTTTCCTGCTGATGTGTACCCTGGGAGATGAAGGTGACCGCTCAAGTACTTGGGTTCTCTGTCACACATGTGCGGACCAGGATGGAGTTCCTAGCTCCTGGCTTCAGCCTGGCCCAGTCCCAGCTATTGTGGGCATTTGGGGAGAGAACTAGCAGATGGAAAATCAATCAATCAATTTAACTCTCTCTCTTTTTTTTTTTTATTTTTTTTATTTTTGATAGGCAGAGTGGACAGAGAGAGAGACAGAGAGAGAAAGGTCTTCCTTTGCCGTTGGTTCACCCTCCAATGGCCGCCGCTGCAGCCGGCGCACCGCGCTGATCCGATGGCAGGAGCCAGGATCCAGGTGCTTTTTCCTGGTCTCCCATGGGGTGCAGGGCCCAAGCACCTGGGCCATCCTCCACTGCACTCCCTGGCCATAGCAGAGAGCTGGCCTGGAAGAGGGGCAACCGGGACAGAATCCGGCGCCCCGACCGGGACTAGAACCCGGGAGGATTAGCCTATTGAGCCACGGCGCCGGCTTCTCTCTCTTTCTTTCTCCCTCCCTCTCCCCCTCCTGTTGCTCTACTTTTCAAATAAATAATCTTTGAAAAAAGGGAGAGACACAGTCAACTTAAAGCAACTCCCACTGGCCAAATGGGGACAATTTGAACAACAAAATAAATAAGGATAGTAACATATTATAACATTTTTATTAGAACAAAATAAAAAAATGCATGAGGCCTTATTGACAGAAATAAATGGAGGAGAAGGGAAACCTCTTTTGTATAATTCCAAAGAATAAGGGTGTGATACAATTAGAAAACCACTATTTGGCAATCACTTTTATAATAATAATTTCAGGCAAGTGTCATCATTATATGATAAAACTAGTGGTTGAAAAAGTTTGACAGAAAAAACAGAATATTAACTAATCTCAAAGGATGTCCTCACAAGATAACTATTAATTACAAAGGGGAAAAATAGTGATTTCAGAATAAAAAATCAAGAGGTTCACCACAGAAAGTAATCAAAGTAAACATCATCAATAATGGAACAAATCAACATTATATGCCTCCTGATATATCACATCATGTCTGTGCCATTCCTGACAGAAATGGAGAAGTTGAATCCAATCACAAGAAACAACACATAAGGCCGAAGTTGAGGCCTAAATAACTGTCCCATATTCTTTACTTTTTTGGTTTTGTAATTTTAATTGATTTGAAAAGCAGAGAGAAAAACAGAAATAGAGAAAGAGAGTGTACTTCCATCCACTAGTTTACTCCCCAAATGCCCACAACAAGGACCAGGCCAGGCCAAAAGCAAGAGACAAGAATTCAGTCCAGGTCTGCCACAAGGGCAGCAAAACCTCAAGCATTTGAGCCATCACTGCTGCCTCCAAAAATGCACACTAGCAGGAACTGGAATGGAGAGTGGACAAGCCTTGAACCCAGGCACTCTGATGTGATGCAGGCGTCTCGAGCACCACGTTAACCACTGTGTCACACACTCATTCTTACATTCTTTAAAGCGTTGAGCAACTGTACAAGATTAAAGAAAATTAGGAGAAATGATAGCTAAACACAATGTAAGATACAGAATTGGATTCTGGACAAGAAACAATGGGGGGTGGTTATAAAAAAAAAACACTGATAAAAATTTCAATGTGTACAGATCAGATATTGTATCAATGATAACTTTCTGATTTTGATAATAGTACCATGGTTATATAAAATAACATTCTTTTTTAAAAACAGCACTAGGGCCAGCACTGTGGCATAGTGGGTTAAACTGCCACTTGCAATGTCAGCATCCCATAAAGGAGTGCTGGTTCAAGTCCCAGCTGCTCCACTTCCAAATCAGCGCCTGCTAATGCAACTGGGAAAGCAGTGGAGGATGGCCCGAATACTTGGACCCCTGCCATCCACATAGGAGACCAGGATGGAGTTCCTGGCACCCAGTTTTCAGTCTGTCCCAACCCTGGCCATTGTGGCCATTTAGAAGAGTGAACCAGAAGATGGAAGATCTCGCTCTGTCTCTCCCTCTCTCCTTCTTGTCATTCTATCCTTCAAACAAATGAATCTTAAAAAAAAAAGTCTTGGTGGGGCCGGCGCTGTGGCACAGCGGGTTAACACCCTGGCCTGAAGCACCAGCATCCCATATAGGCGCCAGTTCAAGACTTGGTTGCTCCACTTCAGATCCAGCTCTCTGCTATGGCCTGGGAAAGCAGTGGAAGATGGCCCAAGTCCTTGGGCCCCTGCACCCTCATGGGAGATCCAGAAGAAGCTCCTGGCTCCTGGCTTCGGATCGGCGCAGCTCCAGTCGTTGTGGCCAATTGGAGAGTGAGCCATCGGATGGAAGACTTCTCTCTCTCTGCCTCTCCTCTCTCTGTGTAACTCTGACTTCCAAATAAAATAAAATAAATCTTTAAAAAAGAGTCTTGGTGAGTTCCAATCAGCCCAGTAAAGTAAAATAAATAAATAAGTAAATGATTAAAATGTATGGGATTGGAAGGAGGGACACAAAACAGAATTTGTAGACATTATTGTCTACATAGAAAATTCACAAGACTTCATAAATTATTAGAATTATAAATGTTTAGCAAGGTACCTATACATAACTTTAACATCAACAGCATCTGTAAACACCAGTAAGAAACAGAAAATATAAATTTATTTCAAAAAAGGTTTTTTTAAAAAATTTATTTATTTGAGAGCCAGACAGAACTCCCATCCACTGGTTCACTCCTCCAAATACCTGGACCAGACTGATGCCAGGAGCTGGGACCTCAATCTGGGCCTCCCACATGGGTGGCAGGAACCCAATTACCTGAGCCATCAAGGCCACCTACCAGGGTGTGCATTAGCAGACAGAGTCTGCAGCTAAAGCCCCGTATCAAACCTAGATAGAAAATGGAATTCTAAAAATTCAGATTTACAATAAAGAAAAAAAGTAAGGCACTTAGGATTTAACATGACAAAAAACATTCAAGACCTATATTTGAACAGACATAACTTTATTCAAAGGCATGAAAAGACACAAAGAAATCAATTTATACAGATTTTAAGGCTAGGGAGATTCAATACTATAAAGATGTCAATTCCTTATGTATTGATCCTATAAGAACAAGGATAAAAAAGAAAAAAGCAAGAAGGCTAAGCCTTGAGGGTTGGATCTAGCAGGATACCCTACCAAATATATTGAGGATATATAATAGAGGTATGGAAATTAAGACAGGGTGGTTTGGGCACAGAAACAGACAAGTTAGCCAGTGGAATAGATGTGAAAGCCCAGAACAGATCACACTTCAATATCCTCATAGCTTCTAATGGTCCCAACAGAAGTCAGTATAATTCTTTAGGCTAAGTTAGAACTT